GATACAATACTCAAGACTAATGATTTCAAGAGATGTTCCACGACGATCTGATCTCGATCTTACTTTTTCGACAACTGACTGATGCATCAAATCTTACGTATTTATTTAGTCGAATGTGACATAATTAGAAGTCCCTTGCTTCAGGCGCGCACAAGTCCCTTCGCATGGTCTTTTCCCTTTTTGGAAAAGCTTAACGCTCTTCTTACGTCACGTACTCTTTCTTTAGAGTTTTATTGCTTTTTGCCACGTGGGTTTTCCAAAAGCAATAAAATATCTAAAAAATGACTTCCTCAACTATTCTTCGAAATCCTTTCTATTTTAACGAAATCTTAGGAAAACTCAAAAAAATAACTTGAGTAATAATCGTTAACCTCAATCCTTAAGTTTATCGCTATTCATTTTTAGCTTTTCTTAAAATATATTTTAAATAATTATATGAAATAATTAAAAATACATTTAGACATTACACCCCCCGTGTTAGACGGAAGTGCGAGTGACAATGGTATCTATTATCAGTTTACATATTTTCAGAACCATAAACACGCCAATGAACCCTGCGCTGATAGTCCTAAATCTGACAAATCTTCCCCAGGTCTTCTCCCAGGTATTCTTAGCTAATTTTTCCAACGATTCTTCATCCAACATATTATAAATTGATGGCTTATTTGATATAGATCCTCTGGTTGCCTTTCCCGCAACTGTCTCTAATACTGCTGCTTGTTCCATGGTGAACATTATTCGATTCCTCATGGTTTCCAAATCCTCGGACGTATAAATTCCGCTACTCGCCAAATGAACGGGGTTTTCATATTCCCAAGTAATTTTCGAGTCTGGTTTTAGACTCATCGGCGGCGCTGTTTCGACAGGTTTTGGCATGAACTTATACCATGTCTGTCCAATTCTATAAAATTGTAATAATGGCGAATTGCAGGGAATTTGTGCTGCATGATTTGTGATTATATGAGTTTTTGGTGATAAGAAAAAACTTTGATTGTTTCTTAATATTGGTATTCTATTATAGCAAATTTCTGTATGCTGAATCTTTACTTCAACTGGAACACATTGTACAATATGAATAACTTCTCCAGCCAAAATTGCCATAAATCCAGGTCCTTTCATGAATCTGTAGGCGAATTCATCGGGCTGAGTTGATGCAATAGCCAGGCTGTTCTGTAGAATCTCCTTCTCTAGCTTACACCTATGCATCATTACATCATGATATAATGTTTGGAGCTGACGTCTAATGTGTCTTTCAACATAAATAAATTTAGTATTAATATAAAGGAAAATGTCCATGTTATCAGTTGTTGTGTTGACTGCTTTAGTTGCTTCTACTTGACCGAGTGAAGTTCCAATAACTATGAAAAGTTTTGGATGCTCAGTCTTTAATAATTTGAGACCACATGAGTCTTCAGCTCCAATTACAGATAATGAGAATGTAGTATCTTTTGACTGAACTGTATAAATCGTTTCCTTTTTAGTTTCTAATCTTTGAGCTAATCCTCTATATAACGTTGAATATGTTGTCATAGAACAATATCTACGCGGTAATTGATCCCAGAAGGTATGTCCTCCTTCGGGATCTACACATGTTCCCGAATTTAAATTACATTTAAAACCGGACGGCAAATAAATTTGATTAGAATCCGTTTTTACTCGGGCTATGGCCGATCGTAAACTAATACGAACAGTGCCCATTACTACTACAGAATTCCATGTACCGTATGGATCTGAGTACTGTGCACCTGAACAAGCTCCATTCTGAGTCGATGAGCCTGCTAAGGAGATGCTTCTAATTGTAGTCGTATTTAATAGTAAACCATCTATTACTGCGCTAGCGATTCGAAGCGTGCCATGATCGTGCGCTATCTGGCATGCTTCCCTTGACATGGAATGGACATAATCCATGTACGCGTTATCGACAACCGAAACATGAGAATGCATTCCACAATAATGCACCGTTCTACTTATTTCAACTTTACATTGTTTTATTTCAACATGATCATATTCATTGATTTGCAGTAAGAAAAGGTTTACATTTGCTATTTGTACATGTTCATCTTCAACATTGCATTCCTCAATGTCTAATAGAGATATCGTTGTCATATTCAACGACGTAGAACCGCAATCATACCCAATAATGGCTTGAACTGCTCCAACTACAATCAACAATAACAAAATTTGGAATCCCTGCATTGTTACTGAAAAAGAAAAAAAAACAACAAAAATTAATTTCGATAATCTGGATCCTTCTCCTTGGTTATTCGCTTTTTTGACTTCTTCAATTGTTCTTTAGCTTCGAACATCGTTATTTTCGACTTTTTTAGTCTATCAGAATGAACTATTTTTGGTTTATTCTTAATTAGAATTTTGACATTTCCATTTGGATATATCTCTAAAACTTCAAATGGCCCATCATAATGATCACCTAATTTACTTGGCTTTGGTCCTTTTTCTAAGAAAACATTCTCTCCTTTATGTAACTCTATAGGTTTCATTTTTCTGTCATAATATTTCTTTGACGTTTCTTTCGAATCTACTAGATTTTCATAAGCTAATTTACGTATGTTCATTAATCTTTCCACTAAATCTGTTATATAATTTTCATACGTTGGCAGACGATCTAAGTTATGCAGAGGTTCATTCGTCGGAACGCGCGCTATTTTTCCAAAAACAAGTTCATAAGGTGTAAATTTCGTACCTTCATGAACACTCGTATTATATGAGAACATGGCTAATTCTAACCACTCGTCCCATTCGTCATCTTTACGTGCGAATTGTTTTAAATATTCTCCCAACACATGGTGGGATTTCTCTAGAGAACCATTTGACTGTGGCCTAAACGCGGTTGTCTGCAACTTTTTTATTTTAAATCTTTTCATTATTCTTTGCATAAAAGCACTAATAAAATTACGACCTTGATCGGTCAATAAAACCTTCGGTGCTCCAAATACACAAATAAATCTTTTAATAAATGCATCCGCAACCGAAATCGCGGTTATATTTTCAAGTGGAATCGCGACACTATACTTCGATAATTGATCCTGAATTGTTAAAATATATTCTTTTCCTCGTGATGTAACTGGTAATGGACCTACTATGTCCATTGCAATTTTCTCAAACACTGTACCTGGAGTATCCGTAATAATCATTGGTTGCCTATTTTTAACACGAGTTAATTTTTTTAATTGACAATCTAAACATTGTTGTATTCGACGTTGCACGTCGCCCTTTAAATTTTCCCAATAATAATTATGCTTTAATCTATTATATGTTTTAGACACACCTTTATGACCACCAACGGGTGAAGAGTGTGCTTCCGCAAAAATTTTATCACGTTCATCCGGAGGAACGTGCCTAATAGTTCCTAAACAAATAATTACCTTTATATTTTCATTCTCAAAAATTTCTTTAATCATTGATAAAACATCATCCCAAGGAATATTTTCTATATACTTTGAATAAGCAACTGAAACTGTTTTAATATTCTTTTCTTTTAACATGACTTTTAAATTGACCAAACATCGTCCTAAATGACTTTTTACTCGAATTATAGATTCTTCTTTCGATTCACGAATTATACATGCAAAATGAACTTTTCGATTAACCTTGAACGAATAAATACTCCCTACTCTAGAAGCTTTAATTATAGACATTTTATTAAGGTCTTTTAATTTCTTAGAGCCCTCATCACAAGGATGTCCACTCTTATCAACAAAATAAACTAAATTATCCTTTCTATACTGAAATAATTCTTTCGATAAAATAATATTCGACCTGATTTTCTTAAATTTTTGTTCATCAACAGCTACATCCTCCAATGAATCATCCGATTCATTGTCCGACTCGACTTCAGACTCGGAGTCAGAATCATGAGGATTTCCAGAACCAGCAAATCTCGTATCATCATCACTAGAGATACCTTGAGTATTTACATTATCAGGTTCTTTAGAGTCTAACACCTTTTTCGGTGGCCTACCTCTTTTCTTGATCATAGCTCCATCCGTGTTTACGACTCCTTTTCGCGGCCTATCCCTTTTCTTTTTGGGAGTAACATTGCCGTTTTCTTTTTCCTTTGACGATTTTTCTAATTAATCATTTAAATCACTGACTTTATTGTTCATTCGCACAGAAATTCGCAATTTGAGATCGGAGCAATCTTTCTTTTCATTTCCTACTTTTGCTTGAGCACGAGTAGTAACATTGACAACTTCTACCGGATTTCGCGACAATGCATCCGCGTTCAAATTAATTTTTCCCGGTTTATATACAACATCATAATCATATTCTGCTAATTTTAAACGCCATTTAAGAACTCTTGCGTTTGCTTCTTTTGCAGCTTGAAACCAGATCAATGGTTTATGATCAGTAACTAACGTGAATTTATGCCCATAGATGTAAGGCCTAAAATTTTTAACAGCCTGAACAATAGCCAAAGCTTCTTTTTCATATGTATCATATTTCAACTCAGCGCCTCTTAACGCTCTGGAATAATAAGCAATAGGTTTATCTTTACCTATTTCCCCTTGAGATAAAACTGCACCAACAGCAATGCCTGAAGCATCTGTTGTAATTATGGATGGTTTTGAAAAATCTGGATATTGTAATACTGGAGCTCTACATAAAGCTTCCTTTAATATCTCGAAAGCACTCTGTGCTTCTTGAGACCATTTAAAATCTCTATTCTTTTCTAATAAACGCGTTAATGGTTTTGCAATTTTTGAAAAATTCTTAATAAATCTTCTGTAATATCCAGTTAGACCCAGAAAAGTTCTAATATTTTTTTGCGTTTTCGGTACCGGAAATTTTTTAACCGCATCTAATTTTGATGGATCAGGTTTTAACCCTTTATTACTAATAATATGACCCAGATAATTTACATCACTGCGTAAAAATTCACATTTATCTGGTTGCAATTGCAAATTAGCTTTACGTAAACGTTGCATTAAGTCATCAATTCTTTTTCCATGCTCATCCAAATTTTTCGCGAAAACTACAATATCATCTAAATAAACAAACATCGATATACCTTGCAACCCAGTCAAAACCGTATCCATTAACCTTTGGAACGTTGCTGGTGCGTTTTTTAACCCGAACGGCATACGTTTAAACTCCCAATGTCCTTGTGGAGTTGAAAACGCCGTCTTATGGCTATCTTTTGGATCCATCTTAATCTGATGATATCCGGAAGCTAAATCAAACACAGAGAAATACATTGAACCTCCTAATTGATCAAGAATATCAGTAATATTTGGTAATGGATAAGCGTCAGTAATAGTTCTTTCATTTAATTTTCTGTAATCTATAACGACTCGCCATCTTTTATTACCTTGCGAATCTGGTTTCTTAGGCACGATCCAAACTGGACTATTATAAGGAGACTCAGAAGGCCCAATAATGCCTGTGTCGAGTTCCTCCTTAATTTGTTTTTCAATTTCTGTCTTCAAAAACTGAGGTGTACGATATTGTTTCACTGTTATAGGAATATCTGAAGTAGTCGGTATTTTATGATTGTATACATCTGTTGACCCTAGTGGTTCATCTGGAATATGAAACCGATCTGCATATTTTTTTAAAAATTTTTCAACATGTTTTCTTTCTTCTTCGCCTAAATGGCTTAATCTCCATAACTTTATAATTTTTTTAAATCTTTTATCATTTTGAAAATTTTCAACAATTGACAAAATTTTTTCCACATTAAAATCTTTAAAATTTAGTTTATTAAAATCTGATTGAGTTTCAATTTCACAATTTCTGTTCAAACAGTCTTCTTGATCAATTTTAGGATCATGTAAATTCTCTACTGACTGTATAAATAAAGTAGGAATTTTCAATCCCACTTCATTTTCAGTCGTATTAAAAACTTGCATATAAGCACGACCATCATTAACACGTACTAAACAGTCTCCCAAAAATACGCCTTTACACGCTTTTAATCTTGGGACATAACCTTCGACAATATTTTTATTTTTAACTTTTACGAAAAAGGTTGACTCACTACGAGGGGGAATACACATCACTCCATCCTCGACTCTATTAGCTTTTTTAAATGGGTATTTAACATTATCTACTTTCATTACTTTATTTTTATAATCAATTTTTACCCCATGAGTTGCGAAAAATCGAGATCCTACGAGACCTGCATGCGGAATACTTAAAGTATCAGGAATCACATGACATACAGTCTCTTTATTAAATAATTTAACTTTTACTCTTCCGAGTGTCTTTATTGGTACATTTGCAATACCGTGCAATTCAACAATTTTACTTTTATCAATTGTCGTCGGATCATTTACATAGCTAAATTTAAGTAAGTTCGGCGAAGCTCCTGAATCTATCATCATAATTACATCTTTATTTTTATTTGTTTTGCCTACAATAATATACGGTAGATCGTCTAAATTTTCTAATTTCACGCTCATGATTAGTACTCGTTTTCGGTTTCCTCCTCGAAAGTCAATGTCACTGGACGCTTTTGAAGTGCCTCTGACCCCGCGCCCATTTGGCGAGACACATTCGAGTTTTCCTGTTCGTCGTATTTTTTAGCTTTAAGACGGAAACAAGTGGAAATGTCGTGACCAGATTTTTTACAAAATTTACAAGATTTACTTTGATTACTTTCATTCGAATGATTAATTAATCGACACGTTTTAGCAATATGACCATTTTTTTCACAAATTTGACATTTTACGTTTGATGAAACTCTATTTGGATTTTTAAAACAATTTTTAGCAGTATGTCCAGTTTTATTACAAAGCTGACAATTTCCTCTTGAATTATTATTATCTTTCTCTCGACAATTTTTCTTTATATGACCAGGTTTATTACATGAATGACAAATAATCTTTGGTTTCTCTTGACTATTATTATCTAAACTTTTGTCTTTATCGTTATTTGGTTTATTAGTTACAAATTTAACGGGTTGATTTTTATCTTCATTTTTATTTTCTTTAGTTTTTATACTATTTGGGTCTTTACGAATTTCTCTTCGCGCAATTAATCGTCTTTCTATTTCTATTGCCTTTTCTAAGGCCTCAGTGACGTTGTCACATCGAGACATTCGTTGATCTATTTCATTTCTTAAATTTTGAACAAAACATTGAGCTACAGCTTTATCAGTATTATCTTTATAGATTTGAATTTCATTCGGAGTAGCAGTCGGATTATTTGATTTGAAACATTCTACTATTTCTTTTGCTTTTTTCCGTAATCTATTAACAAAGTCTACTACTAATTTATCATCTTTTTGAAACATTCTTCCTAGTTCACCTTGCAACTGGAAAAGTGTTTTAGAAGGGACATAAACTTTTTTGAGATCTCTTAAGAGTTCATTTACAGTGCTATATGTTATTTTATTTAATGCATCTTTAACTGAAGGAGATAATTTACTACCAAAAATTAATTTAGTGAGATTTGATTCTACTTGCTCTGGTAACATACATTTTGCTTTCTCACAAAAATTTGAAAAATCAATTAATTCTTCTGGTTTGCCCGTAAATATAGGAATGCATATTAACGCGTCTTTGAGAGATATATTTTGATTATCAGACATTTTCCTTTGTTCCGTCATATTTATATCTAAATTTTTCGTCTCTACGTGAGCTTGAGTTTGATTCATCGTTTCGTCACTATTATCATTTTGTCAGATGTAACGAGTTCACTCGATTCTGATATTTTTGTTAAATCACCGATACCCGAATCAACAAACTTGAAACTTTTAGGTCTAGTAGGCGGAGCTAAACCTTCAGGATATAGTGGGTCACTGGTACTTCTCAACGAATAACCTTTTTCATTATTATTAGATGATCCAGAATTATCAGACATTTAAACTATTTCTCCATAGAAGATCATTGCAATCCCGGACGAGCCCCCAAAAATTGTTATGTAATTTTGCTCTTTAAAGGTGTCAATATGTAAACCATATGCTTAACCTTAGAGACTTTAAGTTCCTCTTTTTAGTCCTAGCCTTTCGACCAATAGACAGGGATGAGGGGATCTTCGATAGAGAAAGTAAAAATGTGTGATTTATATAAAAACAATAACAAAATTTTATTGAATGAAAATTATTGAAAAATTATAACAACAATTTAAAGGTTACCAACAGATGATTTCTTTTACTCTGGTCGAGATGAATTACAATTAATTGGTCCTTAGTCGATGTTCCAGTCAGCGCAATTATTCACTTTTTCTCGCGAATTGATTTAAATATCAATTTAAAAATAATTTGACGATCAAATAAACTTCATGCAAAAATTTACAAACTTTGAAGTATTATCGATACAATACTCAAGACTAATGATTTCAAGAGATGTTCCACGACGATCTGATCTCGATCTTACTTTTTCGACAACTGACTGATGCATCAAATCTTACGTATTTATTTAGTCGAATGTGACATAATTAGAAGTCCCTTGCTTCAGGCGCGCACAAGTCCCTTCGCATGGTCTTTTCCCTTTTTGGAAAAGCTTAACGCTCTTCTTACGTCACGTACTCTTTCTTTAGAGTTTTATTGCTTTTTGCCACGTGGGTTTTCCAAAAGCAATAAAATATCTAAAAAATGACTTCCTCAACTATTCTTCGAAATCCTTTCTATTTTAACGAAATCTTAGGAAAACTCAAAAAAATAACTTGAGTAATAATCGTTAACCTCAATCCTTAAGTTTATCGCTATTCATTTTTAGCTTTTCTTAAAATATATTTTAAATAATTATATGAAATAATTAAAAATACATTCAGACATTACACTCGTAATAATACAAATAATAATAATAATAATAATAACAACAGTCAAATCAGAAATTCACTGAGAAATATAGAATCATTACTTGATAAATATATTAAAATGAATAATTTTAAGCAGGATAGATTATTTAATGCTTTTCTTGCTACAAAATCTTCTGATAAAAGATTGTGTTACAACTGTGGAAAATCTGGACATAATAGCAACGATTGCCCGAGTAAGAGACCAAAAAACAGGTAGACCCCACCGTGACTTTGGTACAATTACAGTCGGATGGGGGAAGTACCGACAATATCATTCCAGAACCTAAAAACATTAATGATAAAATAATCGAATTAGCGAACAACTGCGAAGACAGCACATTAGATGAAGAGTTTATTGATGATGTTTTGTTGGCGGGAAATGATTAAAAACCAGATTTGAATTTGACATTTAAACAAATAAGTCAAAAAGTAGATTCATCGAATAAAAATATTGGATCAGTAGATAGAATAACTAAAAATATTACAAAAATAATTAAAAAAAAAAAAATTATGATAATAATTTCCATCAAACCATCACCAACGAATTACAGTCTACCGCAGCAGCCACATGTCATGTCGTAGATAGTCAACTCGCGTTCGACCTTGACTGGGCTGACGATGAAGAAGAGCAACAGGTTACCAGTACCTAGTTGCACTTTCACTCTTGGTCAAATCAATAGGATGTTGCGCGCGCGACTCTGCTTCTTTTAGAGCTCGACGACCTCAAGCCACCGTCGTCGCTGACGTGATCTTTCTCCTCAGTTCATCTGTAAATCTCAAAGAGTGAATTTAGCACTCCTTGTGAAGTATGTAAATTCACTTAACTTTGTCAATAATGATACCCTTAAAAATATCTGATCATTGAATTTTTTCCATTCACTATATCCTAATTTCCCTACACCTACATGACTGAGGCACAGTTAGTATAATGCGTGCAGTCATTTCCACCTTTCTACGCGCTACATTTTTGAGTTTGTCGTTTGAGGGGCAGTTTGCATATCGCGTACAAAAGAAATTCCAGAGTGGAAACGTTTCTCTTACTCCATTTTCTCAGACTCTATTTGTCTGAATTTATTTATTTTCCAAGTGCGCGAATTTTTACATTTCGACGGTTTTTCTAGTATCGTTTGAGTGACCAGTTTCAGCAACTGGAATTTACAGTGCATCCTCAATTTTCGTTGTTTTGGATTACTGTGCACAGTTGTGAGTTTCCGTGTTAAGTGTTAGAACGATGTGTTGCCCTCATGCCTAAATCAAAGAGGCGAGGAATAAAAGCAGGCTTGAGGGTGCAGATGCGCAGGATCATTAAGGATAATTATAGAGGACTCTCTCAGCTGTCTACCATTGATTAAATTAAAATTTTTTTAACACTAAAAAGAAAGCGGTTTTTCGAATTTTTAACAATTCGTAACAGATTATTACTTTTGTTACTTAATACTACTTATCATTAATTGCTTAGTATACTGAATCTACAAGCTAATAAGTGGTTGTAGATTTAAAAAATTATTTGTTAAATATTTGAATAATTAAAATTTTTCACATTCATAACACGTCCATTAATTTGTCGACCGGATCGTTCACAATCGATATTAATCTATCTGATAGATCATTCTGGAGTTCCCATCTTCCACTGCTCCTTCTGCAGTAGGGCCCAAAGTGTCCAGGAGTACTACTCTTAAGCTATAAATGACAAATTTTCTTCAGTAAATAATAGTGATATGTTATCGATGGCATTATAGCTACAACTTTAATATTAATTTTCTCCAAGAAAATATGTGATTACCTGAATTGATTATTGTTCGCTGAAAAATTTATACTCTTCTAGGTCAGAAAGTTTGCAGCATAATAACTCTGAAATCTTTTCTTAATTTTAACTTCACAAAAAATGGTAATTATTGATATAACCTGAATCTAAGTATATTTTTTTTTAATAAAAACTGTAACAACAAGCGGTAGAAGCAAAGGATTAGAAGTAACAGAAACACAGAAGAAAGGAAAAGTGAGCAGGTAGAGAAAATAAAAAAAAACAATAATAAAAAATAGAGACGCCAGGAAGAGATCTACGCAAAGGTAGCTCAGGTAAAAACCATGTGGGGGACATAGAGTTTTGAGGCGCATGCTAAGCAAGCACAGGTGAATCTTGCATAGGGGGGCACTAGAGCCAAAAGATGCGCCGGACACTGATCAAAAGGAGAAGGGAGAAATTGCGTAGATGATTAGAGGAAATTATGACTAGGCCTAAATAATGAAATTAATTAAAACTTTGGATTGGAGAACGCCAATCTGGAAGCTTCTAAGGGATGCGCGAGAAGCACTAAAAAAGCGCGGACTTGAACACAAGAGACACTCTCTTCCAACTTTTTATCGGGCACGGTGCAAATCCGAACTCAGCTTGATATTTTTTCAAACTCAAAAACTATGACTGATCCTTCTTAATGATCGTAAAATTCAATCTTTAATAATTTGCCACCTGGATAAGATTGGTAAAATTTGATGGATCGCGATTTTTTCTTATCCTTGGAATATGCTTCAATATAACTCGTTGTTAAAACAGCCTTCCACGCGTATATAACCTTTGACAACCTAGTTACCTGTTAGCCAAGCTGTAAAACAAGTTAGCGAGTGAAAAGATGACAGAAATTAAATAAAAAATTGACTATCATGAAAACAAATCTCTATCTTTCTTTGAGAAAATGAAATGCACCAGTGTAGTTTGTAAAGCACTAAGAACCTTTCCTATTTGTTTAATTCTCCATCACCCACACAAGTATATTCTGCGTGGTCTCCGCACCCATGGTGAGTAGAGGACGATTGGGTCTTGACTCGAAAAAGAGATTATTCGGTTACTGAGACGTAACACAAATAAAATTTGGTGTCAAAAGTGGGATATTAAAAGAAAAAAGCCCTGATGGAGATGAAAGAAATAAACTTGTAAATAACTAATGTGCATTTCCGTTTAAACTCTTTCCAGTCAAGATTTGCGTTATAGTATTTTTCGTAAAAATAAATTAAAAATTCGTTAAAAAAGATTAAACCTGATCTACTGAGTACTTCTTTTTCTAGAAAAAAAATATAATAATATTTGGACGTATGCAAAACATGAACGCGTCGAAACTGGGGCTGTCATAAACATTATGTAACGATTTTTTTTTATTATTTGTTAAAAAGGAAGCTCTGAGAGATTAATTGAAAGTAAGGGCAAAATAGTAAATTTAATTTTACCTTTCCTTCTATAGAAATTTTTGCAACAAAGACGATTTTGAGTTGAAATTTAAAATTGTAGAATCAAGTTGTAAAAATTATAGAAATAAATAGTATTGGTTATAAGGAATATATGTAAAAAAAATACTAATATAAATTAGTGTATTGAGGAGTAAATAATAATTTTTGTTTATTAATTTGTACCAATGTAAAGGATAGGGAAAAGCAACAATACTGAAATTACATTTTTTTTTCTCTTAATAGTAAAATTTTTGGATAAAGTTTTTTGTGTGACTTTAACGTTGATAACCTGGCCAGTTAGAAGCGTAGAACACGAATTAATAATAATTCAACGTTATTTTGTTAACATGGAAGATTGTGAAAATCATTACGAAAAAATTGTGGTAGCAGTGAGTAACATACGACTCATTTTAGAGTATATCATTGTTATGGCAAAAAAAAAGGAAGGTAAAGGAAGTTGTTTTTTGAGTAGAATAGAATACCTGCAGTGGTCAGTCATAAAGGTAGTTTTTTTTGAAGAGTATTAGTATAAACAAAAAAAACTGCTCAGTTTTAATAAAATTTGAA